TTAATAATTGAAAAGCAAAAACTATAAAAAGTTGATATTTTGAAAATATATATCGTGATGAATCTAACAAGACTCCACATGACTATATTTTTTATTATGTATCACAAAACACGGTCAAAGTGAAGTGTGTGAATAGTGCTAAAGTCAAAACGTGTTAACTAAAAAAAAACAGAGGTAGTATGTTTTATTTAAATTTTCCCTTCCGCAAGTCTTTTAGACTTGTATTATCTGATTTTGGTCGTTGGGTTTCGTTTATGCATTTTGTTTTGGCAATGCTATGCTAAATTTTACTTTGTATTGCTGCAGAGGACCTTCCTGTTTTTGCTCTTCAAGAAGATCGAGTGGTTGAAGTAGTTGGGGAAGCTGTTGATGTTCACAGGGCCATTGAACTGATTGCAACACACCTGAGGAAGTTTTTGGTTGATCGTAGTATAATACCTGTTTTTGAAAAGCAGGTAACCACTCATAGATATGGTCATTTTAATCTGTTTATTTCAAATGTGTATAACTCACTTGGAATGGGCCTTTCTTCATCCAGATGCAAGCTTCAAGTGCTCCCATGGAGCATATGCCACCTCAGCCTTGGGGTCCCCCTCATGGTCTTCCACCAAGTGGAGGTGGTGGACACGGCGGTTATGGTTCTGGTATGCAATATATGCCACCACCACGTCAACTTGACAATTATTATCCACCAGCAGATATGGCACCCCCTCCTGATAGGCAGCCTCACCAAGGAATATCAGCATATGGAAGAGAGCCTCAAATGGGTGTCCATGGTTCATCTAATGCTCAGTCTACACCATCTATGATCACACAGGTCTGTGCTCTTGTCTTCACCTGATAGTAAAAGAAAGTGATTGTACTGCTTTGTTGTGTTAGATATGAATATGGACTGATGCTGTTGGGTATACTCTCATGTCAATGCTAATTATGTATAATAATAACTTGTTGGAGAGCTGTGCTGGATTGTAATTTCTGATGCTTAACTGCTTGAGTGTAGTTTGTCTAGATTATAATATTCTTCGAGGGATATTTGATAGTTAATACAAAGTATAGTTTAGTGGCTGTTAAGTGTGGCCGTGAGATTGTCTCTATAAAAGGATCTTAACTAAGAACCCAAAATCTTGCCAGTGTCGCCGATTTATTAGCAGCTGCCACATCAATACTGTCCATGCATGGTGCTGACTGCTGAGAGAATTTTGTGCTCTTTGAAAGCGTACTGACAATTTTGTTTCAAATATCTTTTTTTTCTTTATTATTTTGAAATTTGCAATACGAACAACTTAAAACAACACTGGAGTTCCTCAATTTTTAGAATAATTGACACTGTTTGACTTCTTGCAATATTCATCTACTACTAACTTTTGCCATGTATTAATACTAAAATTACAAAACTCAAATGTGATTGAAATTATTGTCAAACTATTATTGATATATATTTTCATTATATCAACTTTTTTTTTGTAATTTTTACTAATGTATATTTTAATGGTCAAACTTATTCGTAGGCATGTTTATCTAGTCAAACCGTGTCAATTATTCTAAAACGGAGGGAGTATTAGGGTAACTTCAGAGCCCAAATATCATATTTATCCCCGCCTCCCTCAAATCTGTCAGCCCCACCACCCTCCCTTCTCCCTCAGCACCATCTGCACGGAAAACCGCTTTCCCACTCTTACCCTCACCAACTTTGTAAACACACTTACTAATATTTAACCTACCTGGTGTCATTCTTACCCTATTATTCATCCTCACTGGAACTGATGAGGGAGAAATATCTTGAGGATGAGAGAAAGCAGAACATCCCTCTCTTGTGCCAACTAAAAATCTAGATATACTCCTTTTTCTTTTCTTCTTCTACACTAGATCTACTTCAACAACTGTTGTAAAATGTGCAAACGAAGGGAATATTTGCCTGTAAGAGAAAGGGGAGAGGAATAAGGTACTGGAAAAGGGTATGGCTAGGGGATAAGGTTAAGGAGAGAAGAAGGGTCGAGTGCCCTTAGGAAAGGGGAAAGTGTAGAGGTGGTCGGAAAAGCCGATTTGAGCTGGGTTTGGGTGGTTGGGCAGGTGTGTAGCTAGATCCTTAGTGAGATGTAATTAGGGATAGGTGGTTTATTATCAAGGGTGGAAAAACTTTCTCATTCTTCTCTTGTTTCATGTGCCAAGTTGCCAACTCCAAGTATTTGAAGTTTTTATTAAACAGAGGAAGTAGTTTGGTCCCTAAATCTGGATTGCTTAGATCGAGGCTATCAAACTGAACAAGGTTGCCAAAATTGCAGTATGTTCGGGTTGCATATGTAGTGTAGATCTGCAATGTGTAACTCATGCAGAAGTTTCTTGTTTGTGGGATCAGACATAATTATGCACTTGTCAAAATTGTTAGCCCTCTTTGAATCTTATATACTAACTCCTTTTTTTTAGTTGACACGTTTTGACTTTAGCACTATTCACACAGTTCCCTTTGACCGTGTTTTATGCTTTATACATAGTGAAAAATAGGATCTTGTTAGATTTTTCCCAATATATATTTTCAAAATATCAACTTTTCATAATTTTTTATTATCGGTAATAAAGATTAATGGTTGAATTTGTGCATTGTCAAACGTGACTAAAGAAACGTGTTAACTAAAAAGAAACACTGTATTAAAAGGAAGATTAAATTATTTTTGAAGATTCAAGCTGTAGTCTTGTTAAAATTGTTTTTAAAAAAATTATGATACTGAGTTGTAATCTTGTTAAATTTTTTAATAAAAAAGAAGAGTTGTATTTCAATATATGTATAGGAGGCCAAACGCTCATAGTTATTACCCTTCCTCATTTATTTGAATCTACTGATGCTAGATCTAGGGGTTTTAGTCCAATGTCCGAACTTTGACTTGTATATTACGGCGAATCTGTAATTTCCAGTGGCTTTGGTGAAGTGGATCGTTACTTGGATAGTGCCTGGTCATTTTTATTTATATTTTGGGACGTTGAGGAATCTTAAGTGTTGTAAGCTGGTGTATTGAACTTCCTGATTGGGTGACTACATTGAGTGGACCATTAGTTTTTAATTTTTTATTGATGATCCTGGTTGAATTTTTGTACAAGTAATGACTTGAGATTGATGTATTGCTAATGCTGTTAAAGCTTTACTAGAATATACCCAATTACCCATTGCCCATTGGGCATGGTTTTAGTGGTCCCCTTTTTTTAGTGCCCATTCTCAGCATGAGTTTCCACAACTCATAAACTCTCTTCTCACTTAAAGCAGATCACGCAGCACATGCAGGTCCCTTTGTTATATGCAGATGCTGTGATCGGTACCAACGGCTCCACTATAAGCTACATTCGGCGTGCTAGTGGTGCTACTGTCACCATACAAGAAACAAGGGGTGTTCCTGGAGAAATGACAGTTGAGATAAATGGAACTGCATCACAAGTTCAAGCAGCTCAGCAGCTCATACAGGTAATGTTTGTACTAACTTGTTGATGTACAGTCTGTTTTTAAGTGTACTCTGAGCTTATTAATTTTGTAGTCTGTTGCACCAAAAATATTAGGCCTGTAAAAATTATCCACGCAACATATTTTAAGTTTTTTTTAGTTTTTTTTCTTGTGCCCTTGCTAAAAAAAGTGGACTCCCAGCATTTTTTCTTAACTTTTTGAGTGAAAGCTGTTTGATGTGCATGGTTTGCAGAATTTCATGGCAGAGGCAGCAGCAGCCCAAGCTCCATCCCAAGCAGGCGGTGCAGCGGACCAGGGTTATAGCCAAGGTTATAATTCTTATGCTGCTCCTGCTTCAGTGTATGGATCTGCACCGTCTAGTGCTGGACATGCAAGCCAACCTGGAGCTTATGGATCAGTGTATGGTGGAAATTATGGCTATTAGATTGGCAAGTCACTTTGTTCATTTAGATTTAGTGTTACCGAATAATTAAATAGAAAAGGCTGTATTACTATGTTAGACTCCAATTATTACTATAAACTGTTTTTGACTGCTCAAGTTACCATGTGTTTGCGACATTAGATATACTAACTTGTAATTCAGGTTTTTGTGTGAACGTATTGACTCCAGTCGTAGTCACCCATTCTATGACAGTTTTTTTGGGTTAAAGAAAATTGCTCGCTGTGTCAGCCCATTATATTCTTTTAAATATCAAGATTATTATTAACAATAATCGTGCGTAATCCCCTTTTAATTTATATTTAGTCTTAGGTTAAGCACAATTGACCGGCACAGAGATTAGGAAAAAGCAATATCCCCGTTTAAGGTGGACTTGTGTTAGTTCGGAGCTGATAAATTCCCACAAAGTTACTAAAAATATATTACCAAATAGGCTTAATAAATAGCTTACTGAAATTGGTATGCATAATTTCTAAGGAATCCTGTTTCACAGAGAAGCATAAACACGTTCACAACATACTATTAGGAGTTGCTTGAATCTTCAGGTTAATCAAGAGATAAACCCCGTGCATCGCAGATTAAGATCAACAATTCCAATATCCAATTTTGATGGGAACAAGATAAGTTATGAATGGGATGTCACAAAGAACCCTTCCTCAAGCCATATCTATTAGTGTAAAGAGTTTTTTTGAGGCCTTTTAGCTTACTAGAGGTTCGAACGAATAAAAAAGCTAATTTAAATGTTTGGTAAATAGCTTATTGAAAGAACTTTTTGGACTCAAAAAGATATTTTGAAAAAGTTTAATTAGAAGATTTTTAAAATTAGCTTATTAAACATCTAGCTTTTTTAACAACTATTTACCAAACACTTTTATACAACCAGTTAGTCAAACCAGCTAATAAAATCAACTACTCAAATCAGTTAATACATCTATTTCAATAAGCTACCAACTAATTACCAAATACCAATTAGGGCTTAAAGGTCCATTTAACTCACCCAAGAACCTGGAAAGAACTTTCATCAGCCTTTATATCCACTGCACACAACATATAGCATGTGTGGCCCATATTTGGAAGTCTATAAAAAGATCTATCTTTATTGTGAAATTAACATGAATAAGCTCTTCCACAGTAATTGTATTATTCGTTATGAATAGGTATATAGCAGCTAATGCTTTGTTCACATATTTTCCTTATAATAATAGGTAAGAGACCAATATAGACAAGCTATTCTAACTAACTAGAATGTTGCATAAAATAAATATAAGGCTTACAAGAAACTTGAAGTTTCTATTTAACTAATATATGGAAATACATAATAATCACCGCCCAATTTGCCAATCTTCAGATAAAAATTCATATAGGTGCGGCACAAGTAGTTCTGAAATGACCTGTCTGATTGCAACGACTACAATGCACAATCCGTTTAACACGGCCACGATCTTCAGCTCGAACTCTTTTTTTTCTAGGTCTTCCAGGAGGGCGAAGAGACTTGGGTGGGTTAATGATAGTCCCATCAGATTTGGTAGCAGGGTTAATGATAGTCCCATCAGATTTGGTAGCAGGGTTAATTATAGGCCCATCAGATCTGGTAGCATCCGAGTCCTCTTCAGACAACTCTTTCCACAATGACTTGTCTGGAATTGGATGTATAGTCTGTGAGTATGCCTTCCGATAAGTTGCAACGGTGAAACAACTTTCTGTAAAGCGATGTACATTCTGCCTGCAGGAAAGTAGGGCAGACACAGCATGGGCACACGGTAGACCATACAGCTGCCATCCCCTGCAAAGACAGCAACGATTTCGAATATCCACAAAATTTGATCCTTCATTTGTTATAACTTCAAACTCTGCCTCATTTGCACGAAGAACTTGGAAAGAGCGAGCATGCTCAATTGCCTCATCAACACGCCTTTCAGCAGTAGGAACGAGTATCGATGTCCACTGCATGCTGGTCTCACGGCGTTCATTAAACCAAGTCATTAGCTGCCTCCGTATGCTCTCCATCATTTGAATGATTGGGAGCCCGGAAGCTTCAAGAAGCCAAATATTTAGAGATTCAACTATATTTGCAGTCAGATGCCCAAATCGTGTCCCCTCAAAATATGCTGTAGCCCACAAGCGGGGTGGAATTCTTCTAATCCAAAATGCAGCATCTTGTGACATCTCCTCTATTTCCAAAACTTTCGCCTCAAATTCAATTATGGTAAGAGCTTGAGCAGCTTCCCATAAAAGGTTGACGACCATTGTGTTATTAAACTCCTTCCGAAAGCTTTCACTTAAATGACGCATGCAAAATCCATGAAAAGCAGTAGGAAAATTTGCTTCCACTCCATCAACAATACCCTTGTGCCTGTCTGACAAAATGGTAAGCCTTGGCATATTTTCAGTATTAGTCTCAAGCAAATTGTGGAGTTCTGATAGAAACCACATCCAGTTCTCATCATTTTCCTCGTCAACTACACCAAATGCCAAATGAAAGAGAGCACCATCCCCATCGAAACCAGTGGCCAACAACAAAGTTCCCAAGTACTTGCTTTTCAAATAGGTCCTATCCAGACCAAGAAGTGGTCGACAAGCATTTAGGAAACCATATATAGATGCGTGGAATGATATAAAGAGCCGCTGGAAGCAGCCATCTTCTGGACTAGCGTAAACAGAAGCAATACTGCCAGGGTTTGTGCGTTTAATTTGCTCGCAATATTGTGGCAGAAGCCGATAACCTTCTTCAAAGGATCCACGCATAGCTGCCATGATACGCTCCTTTCCCCGCCAGGCCTGCTTGTATGACAAGGTGATCCCATGTACCCGATGGATCTCTTCTAGTATCTCCTTAGGCTTGCAGTTAGGATTCTCTCTCAAACGTTGTTCGACAGAATTAGCCACCCACTGAACTGATGCTTGCTGGTGGCCTAGATGACCTATGCCGTTGCAGGTATGGAGCTCATAAAGGGTCCTAATTGTGAAAGTAGGTGCCCCAGGAAGCTTTGCAGCATGCACACGCCAGGGGCATCCTTCAGCAGCACATTTGGCAGTAAAGCGAGTTTTATCAGATTTTATGGTCTGCATTTCAAAGTGTAGAGCAATTGCCATGTCCCTTAAAGCTCTGCGACAACTCTTGACATCTGGAAATTCCTGCCCTACACGAATCTCATGGCTAGGGCTAACAACCAAAGAACGGGCCTGAATAATATGACTAAGTACATATTCTGGCTCCTGAACACCCATGTCATCAATAGCTTCAATTCCCATTTCATGGTTTTGATCAATATCTAACTCTAAATCCTCATCAAGGTCTTGATTGCCGGAAACAGTCAGCTCATTGTGCTCTACCATACCTAAATCATTGTTCTGCGAAGAAAATTCATGGCTTTCATTATTAGGTTTATGTTCCATATGAAAGTCATTGCTTTGCTCATAATGATGCCCATCACTCGATTCATGTTCATGGCTCTGTTCCAAAGCCAATTCATCATGGTTGTGGGCATTTTCTAAACCTAGTTCTGGCTCATGCCTTTCTCCTAAACCCAGTTCATGTTCATGACCTAGGGAATGATTATGGGCAAGGACCAGCTGCCTGTCATGACCTAAATCCATTCCATGATTTTTCCCAAGGATAACCTCATGATTCGCCATAATTTTAATGAAGAATTCCAATTTTAGGGTGCGTTGTCATTTATTAGGCTTAATTGGTCATCAACTTATTATAACAAGTTCAATTGGTCATCAACTTGTTATAACAAGTTGCATATATACTTGTCAACACGTGATTGCTAAAAAAAATTAAAAAAAAAAAAAGTCAAATAAGCCCCGACCCTCCCAGCCGCACCGCTGCCAACCATTCTTTCCCTAACCCTTCCACCCTCCCCTTACCTCTGTCACCCCTCCCCCTAGCCGCGATCCCCCATCAATCACCCACAACCATTCCAACACCCACCTTGACATTGCTACCCCAATTTCCTCCCTTTTTTTTTCCCTCCTTTTTCTTTGTGGTGGTGGAGGATTTTCGATGGTGGGTGGGTTCATTTTGGGTTTTCCGGTAATGGGGTGCTTTGTTTTGGGGTTTTTCAAGGGGGGTGAGGGTTTCATGGGTGGGCATTTTTCGGTTTCAAGGGAGGGGTGGAGAGGGGAAAAGGTGGCCAATTTCGAAGGTGCCAGTTACGGAGGTGGCTGGGAAAGGGGATAGGAAAGAGGGGGAGGTGGTAGCTGGTGGCTTGGAGGGAGGTCAAAGGGGTGGTGGTTGGGAGTTGACCAAAGGGAAGGAAAACAAAAAAAAAATAAAAATAAATTACATATTTAACAAGTTATCGGTCACTTGTGCCTGATAAAAGCCAATACCCCCTAAAGTTAAGATTATTCCAAAATAATCGAAATTTGGGATTATTTAAATTGTAGAAAACTGTCAAAGTTGTGATTATTTAATGAAAATTGGCTAAAGTTGAGATTATTAAAATATATTTTTTTATTTTTTTAAAAAAAATAAGGGAGAAAAAGTAAAGGAATTACTATGCTTCATTATTTTATTCCAATCATGTATTGTCTTGGTTGAGTTGACAGATAATTATTATGAAGGATTTTAAGGTGTTTAGGCATTGAAGTAGTATATAATCGTACTAGTTGTGCACACCCTAAGGATGAAGGTAAGATTAATTAATAAATAATATTCTTGATCACTAATTAATAAGCAAATAAAAAGGAATGTTGAGTTGATTATGTAATGTTTTTTTGATTGTGTGAGTCTTGAATATAAACATATGGGGGTGGTTATGGTTTTATTATAATCAGACTTCTAATGTGGTACGAGATGTTGTACTATCTTTATTACTATTATGAGCTGAAATTTTGTCACTATATAAGTGGCATATATAGGTTATGATACAAGTTTGGCTTGCTCCCAAGATATGTCTAGAAAAGGTGGAAACTCATTCAATTTGTAACATTGAAAATTAAGTCAAGTGACTAAGTGAGTCAATTGAGTGTTGATCAAGTGTCATTGTGTGACAATCATTATTTATTCTCTTTATTATTTGTGTCTAGGGTGAAACATGTTAGTATGCTTATTTCCTATTAGTGTATATGTACTTAGCTTTTGTTGATCGGTACTTTATTTGCGTTTATAGCCCCATTTTAATTATCTTGACCTTGTAATTATTTTAATATTTCATTTTTCATTCACCCCTCTGTTTTTGTAAAAAATATTTTATTACACCGCACAAACATTTCACAAATGAAGCATATAATGATGGAGTAGATGAGTAGAGACACCTTAGGTTCAATAGATATGGGTATGGGTTGACCCAACCCACAACTTCTGTAAACATACAATAAAAATACGAAATTTACTTTCATTTCACCTCAACAATTTCAATGTCATGCTAATTTTGGAGGGCGACCGCTTCATGTCTACTGCATCGGGATAGAGAGGAATCGTCGTATAGGATAGTGGTTCACTACGTCTCGCCAATTGTCATTTTGTTCTTTGCAACATGGATTTATAATTTTCTGCTTATATTAACATTGTAACTTGTAAGGGGTAATGAGACATATAATGATCAAAATTAAGATGAGGAGTTCGAAGAACCCCCAAAACAATAAAATCAAGGGGTCGTTTGGTTGGGGGTATTTAAGAAAAGGAAAGGTAATCAACTACCTTAAATCTCTTTGATACAAATTCAAAGAGATCATTCCCTTTTACCCCTTCTATTATCCAATTTAGAGTGATTTCGGTGCGGTGGTTTTCGGAGAGGGTGGATTTAGAATGATTTCGCTGGGGTGGTTTTCGTGGAGGGTGGATTTAGGGTGGTTTTCAAGGAGTATAGAGGTTGCTTCGGGTGTGCTTAGAGTGGTTTTCAGGGAGGCTGGGTAGGTTGCTTCGGGTGAGTTTAGGATGATTTCCGGTGGGCGGTGATATTGGGTCAATTGAAGGCGGGGTTGTCCTCAGTTAGGCGGCGATTATGGTGGCGGTGACGGTGGTGACAACAATGGTTTTGGTGGTTGGCAGTAGTTTTGGGTGGTTGGTTGGTGTTTTCAAGGTTGGTCAAAGGTAGTTACAAGGTGGTTAAGGTAGTTGGGTGAAGAGGAGTTTGGGGGTAAGAGTGTTCCCTAGAGGGGGGGGGGGGGAGGGTTGCAGTGGGATTCAAAGTAGAGGAAAATGGGGTAATAGAAGGGGTAAAGGAAATGGTTGAATTTGTGTAACAACCATCATCAAAAGGATTTAAGGTAGTTGATTACCTTTCCCTTTCTTGAATACCCCCAACCAAACGGCCCCTAAGTTTTTTAGAACTAAGACAAGTTGATGTATGTGATTTTTCTAATGTGATACTAGTGACATTGGTAGATGGATGGAATTATGGAGCTTTCTAAGAAAATAACATGGTTTATGTTATTCCTAAAGGAAGTTTTTCATGTGGCTTTAATTAAGCGTAATTGTGAATGGCGCTTGCATGATAGCTTCATTGATTCAACATTTCAACGAATAGGCTTGCTTGTTAGTCTTACATTAATTTAAAAGTAACAATTCGACCGAATTGTTTTCAATATGTGATGATATTGACTGCTAACAACAAAACCAATGAATACAAAGCGAATTTGGCCATCAAATGAAAAATGTTTCTTTATCTTCTTCCATCTCACATTTTCACTCATAACTAGATTATATGCTTAGCTTTAAACATCCCCTAACAATTGCCATAAAATCTAAATCATCCTGTTCCACATTTAATAAGTAATTATCTATAAATCAAACATATGTAGTCATTGGTTTTGTACTTTAAATAATGAATAGAACTATGTGTTGGTAAATGTGCAGATCAAACCGTTGCATATAAAAAAATACACACAAAGAATATAATCCGTACTACGTATTTTTTTATATAGGTAACTGATAAATTTTTTTCTAAAATAACACATTAGTTACTCTAAAATCACATAAAAATCAATCACAGATTCTCCAAAAAGGCGGGTGTACGTTAATTTATTGTAAGACGGGTTAAAGTTATCATAAAAGTATTTAAAGTTACTCTATATACTACAAAAACTTATAATGTAGTAAATTAATTATATTAGTCTTTATACTATGTAATTATGAATCTATAAGAAATTACATATTGAAATAAAATTCAATCAATGACAAATTAAAAGTTACTCTTTAAGTGGTTAAACTTACCATAAAAATAGTTAAACTTAACTTTAAACTGACTGTCTTACAATAAAGTTAATGTACACCCACCTTACACAAGACTTATTGAAAATTAATTTTGTAAGTCCCAACAACGCACCTAGAATTGGCCTTAGCCAAATTTCACTGACATTAATCCCTTGTTGAACTAATCATGATCTCCACCTAATCATTACTAGGTTCCAATCCCAAATCTTTCATTTTCATCTGAAAGACATAAAAAAATCCACAAATTAATGACTGAAAACAATATATTAATGAGACCATTACCAACCAACTAAGCTTTCTGAAGGTGGATTCATTACTTTCGGTCAGCCGACTTTTTCCTTAGTCGGCATTTTCCATTCATTTGATTTTTTGACCCCATTTTCAATTTTTTGATTTTCATGGCTTAATTTGATCACTACGTGCAGATCTGTCTTCACTAATTATAACCCTTGATCATATTTTAATTGCATTCTCTCTCCTCCTATCTCAAGACTCAAAAAGTGGCTGCTTTTTTTGTTCATTCTCCATTGCACTGAAACTGTTTGATGATTTGCTTCTGAGAAAGAGGGTACAAGAACAGAGGATATATCGTTTCTGGGTTTTTGTTTTCTCCACTGAATTTGTAAGAATTTGTTCCTGTTAATTGTTATTAATCTGCAAATTTGGTAATTTTTCATGGGTTTTGTACTTTTGTTTGGTGGGGTTTAGAATTTGCAGACATATGTGATGATGGATTTTGGAAATTGTGATTATATTATCATGTTCTTTCTTTTTTTGGTTGATCATGTTAGAATTTCCCCTGTTCAGATTGATATTTGCATGGATCGTAATTGAGGAAGTTTTGTTGCTTTCTAGATTTTGATCCCACATGGGATTTGTATTTGATTTACTGTTGCATTGACAATTTGACATTATCTTGCATGAAGGATGTTATTTGGTGATTTATATCTTAGTTTATAAGCTACTGTATCTTTTATTGTTTAACCATGATCATGCTGTATTGGAAAGGAACTGTATTAACAGCTAGCTTATGTAGATAGTGAGTTTGGGTTTAAGGTTGATGGTGTATGATCTGATCTCTGTTATTGTTTTCTTGGTTCATTAGAACATGTGCTTCAGCTTTCCACCGGCGTTGCTAAATTCAACTTGGGTCAGTTAACGTGCTTCTGCTGTTTTTGTTTCTGTCCCGTGTTCTGCATATGATTTTGTAATCTGGTGGGATGGACAGAATATTTCGGTTGTCATCCGAATCACAAAAACACCGTAGGTCATTTAGGACGGTGTTGGCATCAGCTCTACTTGAATGGGTGCTTATTGTTATGCTGCTTGTTTATGGGCTATTTGGTTACTTTATCACAAAATTTGCTCATTATTGCGAACTGCCTCTCCCTTGTTTGCTATGTTCAAGGATTGATCACATTCTTGGAAGTGAAAAGGTTGGATTTTACCGGGATATGATATGTGGAAAACACAAGTTGGAGATCTCATCTATGGTCTACTGTCATTTTCATGAGAAGCTTGTTGATGTTCGTGGGATGTGTGAAAGTTGTCTCTTCTCTTTTGCTACAAAAGATAAATCCAATGCTGAAACATACAGGCTATTAGTTGGTAAGTTGGGAGGAGAAGATCTTAGTGGCGTTGATGATGACTCAGTAATTAATGATCAGAAGACCGAGGGCTTGAACATGAAGCATTGTTGCTGTTGCAATGAGCTGTGGACCTCAAGACGTCATGCCCAAACATTGCTTCAGACTAAGTCGCTTGGGTTTGATGACACCGACCCTGACTTGCCTATGAGCAGGGAAATTTGCCAAGATCTTATCGATTTGAAAAAGGAAACTAAGTCACTGCAACCATCTGCTGAGAGTGGAAGAAAAACTGAGGTTTCTTTGGATCAATTTGGATACACAGAGCTGAAAGTCACCTCTGATGCTGAATCAGATATTCAGATGTCTGATGCTGAAGACTCGAGACCATTGATTTCTCATGATCCTTTAAGAGACATCATATTAGATTCTACACCCATTAAACCCTTTCTTTCTGTATCTGAAGATGATCTTGTCTGTGACATGCCAGTTGATCTAAAAATTATATCACCTGAACCTTCAGAAACATCACATCTGGCGCAATCTAACATCATTGATCCCCATGACGACCCATCAGTGACACCTGCTTCTGCTATTGGTCACGGATTGGAAGAACTTAATTGGCAAGAAATTCATAGTAATCTTGATACATCTGCATCAAGAGATCCAAAACCTTTGAATGTCTTTATCAGCTCTCCAGTAGATGGATGTAAGTGGAGAAGATTTGTTCCTTGTATTTTCCCTAATTATCGCATTTTACAGTTTTTATCTTCTCTGTGCTGTATATTTGGTAATGCTGATTTGAAATTAATGAATTTTAAAAATTAT